CATGCGCGGATTCCTCTCTTAAGCCGAATCATATTGAAGCTCATTTTCAATGGGCCATAAACCATCGCTAAGATGATTGGTCTCATATGATATTTTCTGATGAAAGTACTTTTCAAATGTTCCGCAATATCCAACTTGTACACTACAAAATATATGAAAGTTGGAATAAAATGTACATTATAAGTAAATATGAAGAATTTAGTAAATATTTTTATTAAATTAAATCTAAAAAAAATAAAAACTAATAATAAAATTTTTAGAATGCAATGAATGATTGGGCTAAAAGGTTTATCCGAATTTTTGAATTTATCTCCTATACTAACCTGAAGTTTCCAAAGTTGCATTCATGGATATAAGTAGAAATAATAGCTATTTTATTATATTTCACTTAGAATAACTAATGTTATTATTTATTTTTTTATTTATTTCTTAATAACCATATAAAATATGATGATAAATAGAAATAACTAATAATTTTAATGACTATTATTAAAGTATGCTGATAAGTATTTGACTCCTTAAAAATTTTTCCTACTACTAGATTTAACTGATAAGTTATGCATATATACTTGTCATGATAATTATCTTAATTAAGTATATATGTATGTAATACGTAATTATGATAATTAATTACTATTTTTTTTTATTAATTATGAGGTAATAATTAATTATAAGAGACATATTATTACAGGTGTGGTAATTAATACTTCAAATATAATTAATTACATGAGATAATAATTAATTTCAGGTAACGTAATTAATTATAGGATAGTAATTAATACTTGTAAATATAATTAATTACTAGAATAGTAATTAATTACAGGTGACTTAATTAATTATGAGAGTTATAAATATTTTTAATATATGGATGGCGGTCAGTAGAAAGTGAAAAATCTAAATTTTAGTCAAAATTTATATTATTAGACCACTTAGCTAATCTCGATCATGTGTACAAATTTGGCTTAATAATAAAAATTAACAAAAATTTTGGATTTTCTCCTTTTTTACTGATTGCCTCCCATATAAGTGTAAAAATGAATTCTGTAGTATTGTTAACATCATTTTTAACTTTAATTTAAGTTTTAATTCACTTTATATAACCTTTAAGCATAAAGATGCATAATTTCTTTTTATGATATTTATCGTATAACATGTGATTATTATTAAAATAAGCATTAAATTAATTTATTTAAAAATAGGAATAAGTATTTTAATGTTTTGTTATTAATAAAAGTTACATATTTTTAATTTTCTAAAATTTTAATTAACATATTAAACTATATTGATTATGCTAGATTTGCTATTATTTTAAATATTTATTAAAATTATCAATAATTTTAAAATATTACAAGATTTTGATAATTAAAACAAATTTATAATTAAAGTTTCTCATAAGCTGAGCTAACTTATAAGCCTCATGAGCTAGCTCACTAAAGCTCATCTTGAGCTATAATAAATCAGCTTACGAGCTGATTAAGCTAGCTTATATTATAGCTAAACTCGTAACGTAACTCAGCTTGATAATATGAAAGTAATTCCTGATATCGGGTTTACTAATTTATTCTCTAGTTCTGATTGGCTGGTATAATTGAGATTAGTTTGGGTTATAGTTAGAATTAGGGTTAGGGTTAGGGCTTAGGTGATTTATCACCGGTGTGACACTGGTAGTGTTTCAATTTTTATTAATTATTTGGAAGACTTAGAATTTTTTTAGGTATTAATGTTTATTCATCATTCTCTCAATACATGAAAATAACATAATTAAATATTCTAGCCAATTAGATTCTGGGGGATAATACTGGTTGAAATCAAAAAAATCAGACATATGATAAATCATCCATCAATCGTCTGTCAATCAGACATAATCATCAATCAGCCAAAAATTAACCCAAATTAACCTGTCTGATTTATGGTCGATTGGAGTTAAGCCAAAACTTCAATTCTGATTGGTTCAATCGGATAATGCAAAAATCGTCCGATTGGAAACTTCGTCCCAAAAGAACAATAGAAATTGTCCTTAAGAGAATATACAAATTTTTTCTAAGGAACGATAAAGATAATTGTTCCTTTTGGGACGATACATTATCGTTCAATAAGAATGATTTAAAAAAATCGTACCATAGAGACGATAGATCTATCGTTTCAATAAAAATGATTAAAAATCATCCCAAAGGGACGATAGATCATTATTCTTATTGAACGATCAAAAAATCATCCCAAAGAGACGATACATCATCGTTCATTAAGAATGATTTAAAAATCGTCCCAAAGGGATGATGAATCATTGTTCTTATTTAACAATTAAAAAATTGTCTCAAAGGAACGATATATCATCGTTCTTATTGAAATATCAAAAAATCATTCCAAAGGGATGATACATTATTGTTTCTTAAGAACAATTTAAATAAATCATCCCAAAGGGATGATACATCATCGTTCTTATTGAACGATCAAAAAAATCATCTTTGTGTCTTGCTTCAGCCTCAGATACTTGCCCTCGATCTGATTGACCATCTCCTTCCTCCCAATTTGGAACGACGTTATCTTGTTAACCGGTTAAAATATTGAACTGGTTAAAGTATTTAATGTTAACTCTGGCCGAAATTTGATTTTCGGGCAGAATTAAACTTTGTTGAGATTACAAAATTTCGCTAGTTTTGCCCAAATTTATAGTGCCTACCTGAGTTAAATTAAACCGGTTAATTAACCAATTAATTTCCGGTTATTAACAGATTAAGGATTTTTGGACTGGTTCCAACCTCTACAATTGCCTTTCGTTGCATTGGACCTACAGTATATTACTTGAAGTTCTGCTACGATTTTTCCTCTGCCTAGTTGCTAGACCAGCCTTTTCGCCTCTATACAGAAAAAGCCAAGTTAAATGTAAAGTAGCGAATGATAATTATAAAATTACTCTTCTATTCACCCAACGAAAAACGTAAAAGGCATGTCTGAAAAGGCTTGTCCAGACATTGAGTCAGAACCGCTTTCCAGTAAATCTTGTGTGATTGTCCCAGCAAACGGACTTGCACAATATTTATTTATTGATAAGCTAAGAAAAAACATGAACCATAAGAGGTTGTTCACTTACCAATCAGTTACTGTACTTCTCACATGTTTATACGCGAAATCAATGAGAGGACTAGAATTTTCACAAAGTCGAGGGTGAGGAGAATAAAGTTCCTTTCCTTGCGTATGTCTTTTGTCAAGTACTATAAAAGAGAATCGATTTATTATAAAATGCCAATGAATGAAATGATAACATCTACAATTTACTTTTGAAAAGGTGTCAATATACTGGAGTAGGTCATCATCTATTTTTGTAATTCTTGTATAGACTTTGCTTCGCGGATCTCTCGTAGCTCGTTCATAGTGAATCCGGATTGCACAAATTTGTTCTCAGGGTCAATGATAAAGGAATGCATGAGACTGAAACATAAATAAAGTTTAGGTAGGTCATTCTTAGCTTCCCGAACAAGTTTTTTAGTATAAATTGATTCTACTCATCTAGAAGAATTTTATAACAATCTGAGCATATCATAAAGTCAATATAACCATTTTCA